GGCGACCTGCTGACGCTCAAAATCCCTCCGAAGTTTGTGTAAAAAAGAAACCTCGTTTGTCGAAGTTGTCGCTGACGTCAAAGTGACGTTTCCGAACTTTGCGAGAGTCGTGGTTTCAGCTCGAGATCTTCGCTTCGAATCGAGGCGAAGTTAAACGTTGTCAACATGGCGGTGCCGTACGCAGCGGCCGAGCTTATCTTCCGCCAACGTCGGCGTCGCTACCGAGAGCACCGGGGACGCCTTTCAACTCCCCGACGACGACTTTCGGCGACAGTACCGGCTATCAAAAGCCGTTGTGCGTTGACTCTGCGACGAGCTTCGTTCGCCGCCTCGGACCGTGGAACAACAAGTTCTCTGCGCGCTCCGGTTCTTCGGAGCCGGTAGCTTTCATTCAAGGCATGGTGGCGACTGACAAGTACCTGTCAGTCTCCCACATGACCGTGAACCGGGCTGTCAGAGCTTTTGCGGCTGTCATCGCTTTTTTTTTTTTTTTCTGTAATATTTGAAGAGGTACTAATAAGCTGGTATACAATTCAGAATGTTGAAAAACAAACAAGAACCGGGGTAATTCTTGGGTAGGGTCGAGTCTCCCGGCAGCCGGCAGAATTATTTCCCCGAAATTCTACTGGCAGTCGTCACTCATTGGCGGTCAAATCAGTTCATCGAACGACGTGTCATCGACAGATCGTTTCATCGGCACGCGATGTAATCACATGAAAGAGATTGTCTTCCGTTAGAGGTATATACACATTAAGCATTTTCCCACCTTTAAACATGTAAGTGGGGTGTCCCATAACTAACACCTTAATAAGTGTAGCAATGGACCTTATAAAAGAAATGTAAACTTCACACCTTTAAAAATGTGTGATTTTTTAAACACGTTTCTTAAAATGTATGATAATGCGTACACCTTTTTATAAAGATGTAAAACTACAATACCCCTTCTCGTCAGGCACGTAGCCAAGGGGGGGGGGGGGGGGCATAAGGCATGGCCTTCCCGCCCCCCCCCCCCCCCCCCCGAAATTTTCCATTTTGCTGGGGCCTCCTCTCCTCCCTCCCCCTCATAGAGCACTTTGTCATCGGCGCCCCCCCCCCCCCCCCCCCCCTAAACAAAAATCTGGCTACGTGCCTGCTTCTCCTCAAGGTGTAATTACCACAGTACATTTCTTTTTTGGGGTGTACACAGTGGCGCGGGACCCATTAATATGACTGAACAAATAAATTACACAAACGAGTCGCCGAAACAGCACGTTGCTTCTTGGCGAGTGTCGAGGCAATATCGTCCGAAAACCGGCTTCAATATTGGCCGGATGTACGGTTTTGCGCCTCGTCCCTACATCCGGCAGGTATGGGACTACCAATGCAAATAAACGATTTACGTCTAATAGCACTGGCACCACTGATTTCTTAGGAGGCTAGAACGTGGATAGAGGCCTGTATTGCTGGGGTCGAGCGGCACCACCGGCAGTCATCGCTTGACACGATCTTATGCATGCTATAGGAGAAACGGGAAAACTCAATCTTATTACGTTAGTAGGTTGTTCTCTACCATGAAACTTCTATCATGTTTCCGCAAATAACAGTTAATATTGTGGGCAAGAATATTAAACGCGTTAAAATACCAATCTTGTTTAACTAAATGTTGTGTGGTTGAGGGTCCAGGGCTACTTTGTTGGGCGTTAACTGTTATGTGTTTAATGAGACAAGGGCTACCGAGAGTTATTGTGGAGTCATCCGTGATTTCGGAGTCATCAAAGCTCAGCAAACGATAAGTTAGAATGCCTTTACTGGGGATTTTCGCATCGTTTTGACCGCTTGTACATAGTGCTTCATGGTGAAAGCTTTTTCTTTGAACTCCTGTGAGGGCTTCCGTGACAAACTGAAACTCGGAGCGTGCCGTTCAGTCGCTCGACGTGCCATTTATTTAGCAACCGAAGCAAGCGACGTCGGTAAAGTCAATCGTGCTCCGGCCATCTTTTTTTTAATCGATGTTCAAACGCTTGACGAATGTCTATTTGATCTCCAAGAACCCGACATAAACATCGCAGCACGTCATAAAATGCTCGCCCTCGAGCACCGCGTACAAGCTTCCAATTTTTGCATGTTTCTTCCTTAGACTTGCGTGTATTGCCTCATGGTGTAAAAGGCCAAAGCAACAAGGACGAAAACGAAGGGAGAACTAGACAGGACGCGGCATATTGCCTGTCGTCAAGCGATGGCCGCCGGTGAGGCCAGTGAAGGGCTCCCAATTCGCGATACAGACTTGCACTAGGAGAGTTCTAACGCATTACACCCGCCGAGTGCTGCACGGAGAACAGGCTCCGAACGAACTTGCCGAATGCACCCAGTGCAGACTGATGCTGTCGCCATAGATGTTGTTGAAAAGTACCGACCTCAAACCGAAACTAGCGCCTTTTTGTTCGACGTGATGGGTGGGAATGCGAGAGCGCAGTCGCTGAAATCGTTTAAACGTTGGTTGCTGCAACGTGGAACTTACATTTCCGATGACTTCCACTTAAGCAACTTGGCTGTCAGAGATATCTACAGACGACGTAAGTTTCCGAAACCAGTTGACTACAAAACAGCATACGCTTGAGGAAATTGATGGCCCTGTACGCGCAAGAGCTTGCTTCGTTTTAAGCATAGTATTATGAATGAACCACTGAAAGGATACGGCTTAAATCTAGTTCTTTGGAACATCTAGCAATACGTTTCAAGGCTTTTTATTTCCCTGGTGAGGGCATTCAGAACGAGAGCTTTCTCAAAACAAAGGCTGTGTTCCAAAACTTACTCGATCCGACCCCAGAGTAAAGGTTTCGCACCGTGGCGTTTCAAAACTTACTCGAGCTTACTCGATGACGTCACAACTCGCGTTTCAGAAGCGGGTTGTTTACTCCGGAGTAACTACTCGCGCTACCCTCCTCGATCGGGGGGTAACGTCGGATCAAATCGAGTAAATAGGTCACGTGATCTGCTCGTCGTCTGCTTTCTGCGCTAACAGCCGTCAAAGCTCGTTTGCGTTGTTGCGTTCGGTGACAGATTGCAAGAATGGCTGAGAACTCGACGCCGTCGTTTTTGTGCGGTTATTGCGACATGTCTTTCTCAACTCATGAGTTAGCTGTGCAACACATTCACAGCGTACATCTTGCGCAAACAGGTATGCACATATTTCTCAGTAGCAATTTCTCTGCATCCTCGCTCTCAGCGTTGGAGTGAACTCGCTGTTCATGCTTTCAAGATTGAAGGCGTTCGACACTGACCGGATTACTTAGTTATTAAAAAGGAGACGTCAAATGAAGCCCTATATTACAGGGACCCGACGTTTCGAGGCCTACTCGGGCTCTTTTTCAGGGGTGACTGCATGAATTTGCTTTGCTCTGGATCATCTACTTCTTCGTCTAGGGTGGTGTTTTTCTTTTTGCATCGGTGATGTGACGAAGCCCGTTTACGTATGCGGATGGTGAAGCACCGAGGGATCTGTTGATGTTTCCTGGCGTGCTTTGAATATGCCAGGATTCTAAGAAAGTCTCTGCCGGGGATTGGGTTCAATGTCGATGACGAGGTGTACGTTTCCTCGGTGATGTATAACTTGGCTAGAAAAGAAAAAGAAAATATCGCTGACGAGGCTGTCACGCGGCAACAGACAATGCCGTGGACATACATTCTTATTTTCTAGACTGAGAAAGTTGCACTGCCAGTTTTCTCTGGGTGGAATCGAGCACCGGAATTTACGCACCTTTCGCCCGAGGTGTATTTGAAGGGCACGGAATTTCGGTATACTTAAAGACAATGATTGCGTAATGGTACAGAGCTCTGACGAAGAGCGGAATTAGGAGATATAATTTTGTATTCAATCTATACACAGCCCATGTGAAGGCTGAGCAAGACGGCCGCCACCTCCGAAACAGCCAGCTGAGAAGGAGGTGTATGTTTATTGGGCTGAGGACTTGTACGTTCAAGGCTGAAAATAGTCGAACACAGTAGATGATGATGATGAAATTATGAAGTAGATGATAAACATGGTTAAAAATCGCGCACAAAGAGACAAGAACAAACGAGGAGTGCAACACAGACAGGCACGTCTGTCTTCTACGTTCCTTCCTCGTTTGTTCTTGTCTCTTCGTGCGCGATTTCTAACCGTGTTCAACCTTTACCAAGACGCCCAGCTTACTACTTTACTATAAAGATGCAAGTATCTTTTTTTTCCAGAGTAAGCATAATAGCGCTTGTAAGCAGTGAAGGCTTGGAAAATTTTATGTAAATGATCAGTCAACATGCGCCCCCCCCCCCTTTTTTTTTTCCCACCCTAAAAAAATGCCGTTCAGTTTTAAAGTTCTCTCTGTGATATATTTTTGTTTTTCAGCGTCAAAACTAAGGTAATTAAGTTACATATTTCACTGAGTACCGCTACACTGCGTGGAATATGATTTTAAATTTCCGCAAATTGTAATCGATTCAAATTATGATGCGGGGAACGCATATGTATAAGGCACCTGGAGTTTAATAACAGCGATTGCTCTAACTAATAAAAACAAATGTTTGATGTCTAACTGAAATGAGTTTTGATCTCAATATGCAGTTCAAAAGGAAGCTGACCAAGTGGAGCCGGTGGAGCCACCTCCAAAAACATTGACGCCAAGCAAGGAGGCGTACGTGTATTGGACACGACCAGCCGTACTGGCCTTAATCGAACGATGCGCCAAGATGGAAAAAAAAGTAATCCTGTCTCCAAGACGTTCTGGAAAGGGTAAAACGATACATTTTCAGGTATTTTGTATTATCGCTGTGAAATGAAGGAAATGCATGCTCGTGCCACAACTGCGTAGTGGGAATTTCCTCTTCTTTTTTTTTTGTCTTTTGTAGCACGCATTTTTTATTTTATTTATGTTTTTAACGAAGATAAGGAAAATATGTCTTTGCTTACCTGGGACTAGACATCTACAACGCGTAACATTTCACACGAGCATGTCTGAAGATGAGAGATGTTTACAAAAGTCCAAATGTTTGCACTGATAGGGAACTCGCCGGTTTGGTGGGCTTGCTTTTAATATAAAGAGGCAGAATGTCAATTTTGACTACTATTTCAGGGAGCGTTCATTTGGACAATCCGGTCACATGAAACTAAATACACTAAAAAAATTGGTGGTGATTTATTTCAGGCTGGCCAAGACCCTCAATGAAATGGGGTACCCAGTCACTGAAAACCAGTGTTGCAATAAATGGAAAAATTTGAAAAAAGCGTATAAAGGTGTTAAGGACCACAACGCCAAGAGCGGCAACGACAAGTACGCATTTCACGTCTCCATTTTTATATTTCTTGAGTGAGATTTTGATGAAATCTTTCAGCACTGTATTAATCTCGCAGGAAGGATTGGCCATTCCTCAAGGAAATGGATGAAATCTTCGGGCGAAGGCCGGAGGTGGTCCCTCTGGCTGTTGCGAGCGCCTCAGCTGGTCTGAGCGTCAGGGAAACCGGAGAGGAGCCGAAGGCGGAGTGCAGCCGAGGAAGCAAGAGAATGTCGATACTCTCGGAGTCACATGAGTTGCTGTCCAAAAAAATGGCCTTAGAAGAAAGGAAAGTCAAGGCCCTAGAGGATTTTAATTGTTTCTTTAAGGATTTTTTAGAACTCAAGAAAGCAGAAAAAGCCAGAGCGGAAGAAGAGCCATTATGTATGAAACTTCGTAATCTAGATTTTAATTGACGAGCAAAGAGCTGCAAAGATGTGTTCACCTTCAATGTTATTTATTTTGTGTGAGTGTGTGAAGATACAAGTCACAATGATTAACATGCATTCGCGTAACCACGGGATCACAAAGAAGTGTGAAAGTTCCAACTAGTTTTTAATTATTAACAGTAAATTGATGAATACATAAAAAATAAAAAAATAGGTTGGTCTCCTATTCTTGTTAATAAACATGAACTATGTACATATATACCGGGGCTTCACAGGCTGTGCATGATAAAATCTCGCTTTGCCTTGCCCCTGGCCTTGTCGCGACTCGCCGTGGGTGCGTCGTCTTCGTCCGAGGAGGACCCACCGGACTCGCTGGAGTCGCTGTCCGTACCGTCACCTGCGGGTCCATCGTCCTCGGTGTGTAGGGGGCCGTCGTAGATGTCCCGCCACTCCATGCACGCGTTGTGCATGACGCAGGCTGCCACAATCGTCGTGACGATGCGTTCTGGGCGGCGGGCTTCAATGTACTTGAGACGTCGGAACCACCCCTTGAGAATCCCAAAGGCCCGCTGTGTGCTTTGTGTTATAGTTTCTGTGCTGCTCAGTTAGCCGGCCGTTGTTCCTGTAGGGGACAAGGAGGCTTTGTCGCAGCGGGTACGCGCCATCTCCGAGCAGGTGGCTGTCGAAGGGGAACTTGTCCGCAGTCAAGATCGTCGGTAGCTCGGACCGCCTGTACATGCGTGCGTCGTGCACGGACCCGGGATCTCCTGCGCTGCAGTGAAGCTGAGGGGGGAGCAACGTCACTAGGCGCTCAACAGAAGTCCTTCGGAGCCGAAAATGACTTTTGAAGTCCTCGGGAGACTGGCGGGGGACAACAGTTTCCGCATACCCTAAAATCTCGGCCACTTTGCGCCTGAAATGATAAAAAAATATATGTATATCTATTATGTAGGATTTGTTTTAAAGTGCAGGTGCATTCGTTTCGCGTGTCTGCTTCAATATATACAAAATTTATCGTTGGTTTCCATCCCCGACAATAATCAACCAGCTACTCATAACACACGTGCGATTTGTGATCTTTTTTTCCCGGTGACTAGCGATTCATAGAATGCAAGCCTGGTAACACAAAAACAATTCATTCGGAACAAACAAGTCGGTTGTGTATGTGTATATAGAAAAAAAAAAAAAAACACTGAAGGGACGGATTTCACTCGAAGTCTTCCTTTAGACGTAAAGCGCAGCTAGTGTGGACGTTCATGGTACATTATATAAAAGCTAAAGAAATAAATAAAGCCCACACGCAGAACATAATTTACTAAAATACGTATGACGGCCAAATGTTCTTTTATGTTTCTTTTCTATATTTTACGTCCCACGCAGCTTATTGAATAAGATGAGAGTGAATACGTAATTCACTCTCATCGGAGTGAATAGTTTCGCTTTTATTTGTATACAATAAGTAATATAAGCTTCAAGTCGGCGTTGCAAGGTGTGCCAATGAAGCACGCTCTGGATACTTTTTCGATTAGCGCGCTAAATGCCGCTTTAAAGTTTATCAGAAAATGTTTCCTTACCTCTCCTTCGTTGTAAAACTCTCTAGGATTTCCCACTCCTCCGCCGCGTCGTCACTATCAAAGAAAAACTTCGCAGCGGTTAATATCATCGTCTCTTCGAATGCTTCCTCCGTGATCAAAACAGATCGTCTGCTATTTCCAGAATCGAGCCTGGACCGCTAGGTTGGACATTTGAGAAAAGGTACATGGAAGTGACGTAATGCAAAGGAGGAGCGTATCCTAGCAACACTCACGTGGCGGCTCTGCCCACTTTGACGCCGCTACGTCATCGCAAACTTGACACCCGTCACCCGTTTCAGCGACGTCCGGAGCCAACCACCGACGAGCGGAAGTAGCTACGCTTTCCCTGAGGCGTCCCTACGCGCGGGATACGGGGTAGGATTTACTACGACGCGGGTAGCAGTTCCTGCGTTTAGCGAAGGAACGGCAACCAATCCTGTGCGTCGCTGGCCGTCTAGTACGTCTAGTACAGGTAAAAGTATTGAAAAACAATCAAGACCTTTTGGGCGTTGTTAAAACAAACCGCTTTTTTGTACCCTTTTGCAATACATTTAAGAATTAATTGGAGAGAAAGTTGTTCCAATATTATGCGGGATGTGCGCTACGCGCCTTCTTCAAACCAAAATGTCGAACCACGAGGAGCCGGGTGTGCCGGGGGCAGCGGAGGGGTCGGCGGAACCAACGGGGAGCGCGCGAGTGACGGCTGCTTTAGTCAGAAACAATTTTTTTATCTTTCGAGAACTTGCTATTGCTGTGCTCAAATCAGAATGTTTGGCGCAACATCTGTGATAATTCTTTCAAAGTGGTCCAGTGTTTATATGGTGGTATGCTAGTCAGAGAATATATATATATATATATATTTTCCTTTCGAAATTTAACTATTGTGCTCAAATAAGACCAGAGTGTTCAACAAGATATCTGTGATATATACTTAAGATTGCCCAATTGCTTACATGGTTCCAGTCGATGCTCAGTTTTACTTCCAAGAATGAAATATTACATTCCATGTTATCACACTTTTATTCATGAAGTCTGTGGGAACCATTGGGTTCCCTCTATCCCTATCCAGGCCTAGCTTCAAGCAGGCCGTGGGAGTCGTCGTCACCAATGGCGTCGGCCTCCCGGATACAAGGAACCACGAGGCCGAATTCCCCGAAGGGGCCGGCTCTCCCTTGCCCATTTGGGTGAACGCGCCTTCGGCACACCCTTGAGAGCTATGATGGACGCGACTGCTAGTGGCCTCCCCGGGCGCGTCCATTCTCCGAGGCTACATAAGCTGGCCCCGAAGGTGGGCCAGGAGCTCTCGTCGGCGGAGGCCCTGGCTCTACGGAGCTCGGTTTTTCTTTGTGGGCCTCCGACTTCCCGTGATTCTGTCTAATGCGGCAGCGCGGGAAACCGACCGGGTGATACTGGCAATTGAGCCAGCGCCCAGACTTTTCATTGTTTAAGAGCGAAGCGTGCTGACATTGCAGTCAATAAACACGTCTTTATCCGGACCCAAGGAGCTCTTTGTGTTTCTAAGTGGTGACAGCCCCAAAAGGGTGAATCCCACAAGTCACAGGTTTTTCTTTAAGAAATAAAGCAATTTTCAAAACAAACTACATGTGCACTGCCTTGAGATAACACAATCACCTAAATTTGATGAAGTACCATAAAAGAGATAATAAAATGGAGCAGAAGGCAAGACGCTTTGAAGCATTTGTAAAATGAAACAATGTCCATGACAACAATATCCCTGGTTCAATCAGCAACTAAGAAAGCAATCTCTGCAAAAGCAAGCATTTCTTTCTAGAGGTAGTCTAAATTACTTCTGAGTTATTTGCAGGGGCAATCCAGATGACCTGTTGGTCTGGCAACTAAACCTCCGAACCTTTTCTGTCACTGTCGACTGCGTCTCGTGCCGTCTGCTCATAAAAATAAAACAAAAGGCTGTATCGATTTCACCGCGATGCACTCGACACGTATCCGGAGGCAGCACGCTGGCTGTGCGACGAACTTCACAAGGTGTAGGAGCTGAAGAGAGTATGTAGCTTGTGGACGGCCATGACTGTGGAGCAGAAAGCGAAGTGTGCACTTAACGGCTTCCACGGGGAGGGCTTCACTGAGGGCAAGGATGCGACGGGGTCCTTGGTGGTCAGGACCTCAGTCGTGGTGGCGAGAGGTTCCCTGTCGCTGGCGGCGTCCGTGCTGGGCACCACCGCAGCGAGGGCGCCGAGGGGCTTCCCGACGGTGTCCCTGGTGGTCGGGACTACCGTCGTGGCGGCGGACCCCTTGCGTGTGGCGCTCCGCACGGGCACGTCTGCGGCGGGTTCCGAACCGGGCGACAAGGCGCTGCCTCAGAGCCTTCCCCCTGTCCGAGAGGCCGACCGGAAGGCCGACCGGAGGGCCGGCAGGAGCCAGCCTCTCGGGAGCCGACGCTGACTTCTCCGAGCTCGGCTCAGAACCGTCCGAGCTCGGCTCAGACTCCAACTCTGACTCTTCAGGGTTGGAGTCTGACTCCGGTTCTGGCTCGCTCGATGCAAGGCAGATGTTGTGGAGCACTGCACATGCCGAAATAATGGCGGTGGCTGTTGAAGGGTGGTAATACAGGGCCCGGTGCCTTTGCAGACACCGGAATCTGTTTTTCAACAGCCCGATGCAGCGCTCCACAACAGACCTGATCGAGGAATGCGCCTTATTAAACCGGCCGCAAGCGGCGGAGGTCGCGTGGTTCCCGGGGACAGGGGTGATGAGCCAAGGCTCCAAGGGGTAGCCGCTGTCACCTGCACATGTAGAGGGTGGAACATATTACATTCTTTACTTTTTAAAATAAAAGGCAAAAAAAACAGCTGTGTGCAACTATGTCAATTATAATGTGACTTAAGTGTGACTTAAAAGTGTGTTAATATTTCTGCACTACAGTATCAGTTTACAGTATGATTAATTAGCACCAGCTTGCCTGCAAACTCCCTGTTATTTCATGTAACTATGTGTTTTCCTGGTGGGTTGTATGGGATGTGTGCACGATTCCTTACGGGTGTTGTGTTGTATGCAAGTGCATTATTAGGCCCTTCCATCCGACAGATAAAAGCTCTGTTGCTTTTGGGAGTGTGGCCGCGACCTTAGGCACGGGCAGAGCAGAACACGCTGGCCTTGTCTTTGGCAAGCAAGGGGATAAGGCGCCAGTTCGACGAACCTCTTTCCTAATCCTCGGTGGAGTTGGAGATGGGGAAAAGAGAGGGGGTGGTTAGATTGGAAAGGAGTCAGGTCCTGTTGGGACGCGGAGGCTCTAATAGGAGGAGCTGTATAGGCAGACCGAAGAAGAAGGGTCAGGGAAAAGAATCCAGTGTGTGGGACGAAGACGACCCGAGGACAGATTTGGCGAGCCCCAAGTGGCGAAGGAGGAATTGATCCCATTCCGTACAAACTGACGACCGTCAAAGCGACCAGGCGAGCCCCCAGGTATCAGTGAAA